AACCAATCCCCAGAGTCCACTTTTAACCGGGTGGACGGCCCTCAGATACGCCCTTCGGAAGGCGCCGAGGTTGTAGCGGGATCAAGAGTTGATCCAGCGGCGGGCGGATGTGTCTATGTTCCGCCCGCCACCCACTCCGCCTACCAGCGGGGTGCGCCGGCCGGGTTCATCAAGAGCGCCCGGCCTGTTTGCTCGCCTGATGCCGTAACCATCAGGCGGGCGGAATGTGGGCGCCCATGCATACGGACATATGCGGACACGCTTATTCCCCATTCTGATTTCGGGGTTAGGAATTCTGGTATTTCGCCAGGTTCACTTACCCCGCGCCAGTGTAATTCGGGGGTAAAGGGCATATTCGTGCATGACTTGACGTATGGACATGTAACGAGTGTCCCGTGTCTTTGCCGAGAATTATTTAGCCCATAATTACCTCCCCCGGATTGCTTAGCCGATATTCTCAGTCCTAAAGACTGGGAGCTTTCAGAGTTATGCTCCGTCAGGGGCTTATTTTCCGGTACATTCCATGCCGCTGCGTTGTCAGGTCAGCGGTTTGGCTACTTAAGGCCTCATAAAGACTTTCGCAGACGGTCCTACCCGGCCAATCGCAGTGTGGTTTTGCATATGCTGATTACACTCTGGGTTCTTACATCAGAGTTTGCAGTGCGCATATGTTACTCGGCTGGTAATCGCGGCTTGTACCTAGCCGCGATAATTGCGATTTCCCTTCTGCGGTACCGCCTTTCCGCATCGGGGTATGGAGTGCATAGAATTACGCACCCTCCCCATCTCGGTTTTCCGGTCGGCCGGCGAGCGCCTGCGGGGAGGCCTGGTGGAACGGTGACAGCCGTTACTTTTTGCCCCTCGCAGACGGTCGCCAGTCCACCCGGCTTCACCATCGGGTTTGACTCTTTTTGCCGAACAATGGCCCCGGGGAGCCCAGCGGCCCGGCTTACGGCGTCCTCGCTTATTCATTTCCTTTGGCTTCCACGATTAGACGCTATTCGGACCGCCTTTTTCCGCGGGGTCCCATCTCGCTGCTAGATGTAAATGTACGCGAGGCCGCCGATGTGTTTCGCCGGCCTCGTTACCAATAAATATTGGTATTTAAGGCTTATCGGTTTACAAATTGTATCTGACACCGCACGTTACTGCGGCGGTCCAATTTGGACTAATGCTTTCAAATAGAACTCTTTTCTCGGGCGACCACTCGGTCTTTTCGCCTCGGGTTGCAAGTAACTTACCGTACCGTTCTAAAGTCATTCGAACGATATCGGCTTCATTTTTATGGCCGCCCTCGAACTCGAGCTCCTTCGTTCCTCGTTTGAGGGCGATTTTACAATTTCGCCCCCCACGGAGGACCTTGTTATATGCGCTCAAGGCACTCACTGCCGTCCGCAGTCGGAGGCCGCCGCCCACCGTTTGCCGCTCGAAAGCGGTTCGGTGTTCAAAATATTGGTATTAGGCCGCCCGATGCGAAACTGTCGGTTGGTCGGCGGAAATCGCCGCCATCTGACCCCTCCTCGAAAATTTCCGGGGGCTTTAACGAATAAACTTCATATTTACGAGAACATGAGACCCGCAGACTCTCGGCAAGACGGGGGACGGTCGGACCCCAATCGCGCGGCACTGCCGCGAGCCAGTCTCCCGGCCCGATACCAGTCTTCCGGTCGGCATCATGCCCTCAGCGCGTTGCGGTTACAGAAAATCCGTACTCCACAGAAGCAGTCTCGTCGAGATTTTATGATTTCGCATGTGTTCGACCGGTGGCCCTCGGGCCGGACTCCGTCCGCGGCAGTTCCATCCCGGACGGTGACGGGTTATTCCTGGTCCGCGCGGACTGGGCTGTCCACTCCGCGCGGGCCAGATCTTATTTTATAGTGCTGTGCCGAGTCCCTCAGTCCTTGGGCCTGGACCGAGGGTACAGTTACCCGGGAGCGCCTTCAAGCCCGTCCGCACCGACTGCTGTTGGCAACAAGTACGGGTAGCTCAGAGAGACCCCGGCAAATCATTAGATTTGGATAATGCGTTCAATCGTGCGCTTGCGGTCCGACGTGTCCGACTTGGGTTCCCTCGCTCAGAAGGTCTCATTATTAGATTCAACGTACGGGGCCACCGGTAACCGGATTTAATCCGACCGGCGACTTTGTCGGAGCATATTAGCGGCGCCTGAGACGACGCCCGAGAGCGGTCGTAACGGGGAGCCCGAGGGCCTCTGGAACTCTGCCATTCGCGCGCTAGCTCCGTCGTGTCGACGGTCGTCTTTTCCCCGTGACATAACCCCCATAATAATATGGGGGTTTTTACGAAGATAAGAGGCGTTTGTAAGAGAGCGAACCCCCGCGGAGTCCGGAGCGCGTTGCGCCGCCCAACACATTCGCCTCACCCGGCGGTCCCCGGGCGAGTGCGCGACAAGCTAGCCGTCCCCTGGGGGGGTGGCTGCAAGGCCGCGCGTTCGCCCGGCCCCCGAGCGATTTGGTTGTGATGCGACTGGGTAATAGACGAGCGCCCAGCCGGTGTCGACTGGGCGCCCCAAAATTACCCATTTCAGCGGGTTTTCTTACCCCGCTGATTATCTCGAAGGCCCTCAGACAGGGGCCGCCCGTTCGCGTACCGGCCGCGGTGATACACTCGTCCGTAGACGAACGCAACACCGGGGGAACCGGGCAAACAGACGGCTCCGGAATGTGACGAGTGCCTCCGCGTTCAACGGGTTTTCTTTCCCCACTGATTTTTCCCGAAGGCCTCTGCCCGGGAACGCCCGCCCGCGTCCCAGCCGCGGCGATACGTACGTCCGTGGACGAAGCGTCTCGCCGGGGACTGATGCACGCAGACGCGGTTCCCGGGCTAGCAGAGAGCCTTCGCGTTCAACGGGTCTGCTTTCCCCGTTGATTCTCCGAGAAGGCCTCGACCCGGCACCACCAGTCCGCGTGCCGGCCGCGGCGATGCCCTCGTCCGTAGACGAAACGCACCGCCGGGGAACCGAGGCAAACCGGCGGCTTCGGGCCGTGGCGAGAGCGTCCGCGGTCAACGGGTCTGCTTTCCCCGCTGATTCTCCAAGAGGGCCTCGGCCGGGGACCGACCGTCCGCTCACCCGCCGCGGTGATGCATTCGTCCGTAGACCAACGCATCCCCGGAGAAAGAATCGAATCGGCGCGGTCCGCGGTTGTCTCGAGTGCCCTCCTTATATTTAGATAATCTGGAGTTTCACACATGGTGTTTCCTTCTTTCCCCGCTGATTTTTTCCTGGAGGCCTTTCCCGAGGAACGCTCGCCCGCGTATCGGCCCCGACGGTACCCCCGTCCGTCGACGGAAGCGCATCATCGAGGTCCGATGCGGGCTGATGCCGTTCCCGGGCTGGTCTCGCCTCCAAGTTCAACGGGTTTTCTTTCCCCGCTGATTTTTCGAGAAGGCTTTTTACTCGTAGGCGAAGCGCATCGCCGATGACCGATGCAAGCCCATGCGGTCCCCGGATCCGTAGAGTGCACCCTCATTCCGACCGACCGGCACCGCGCCCGGCCCCCGACAAACGAAGCACCCGCTCCACCATCGTTCCACCCACGTGGCAGAAGACGGCAGCGCGGGCGGTCCGCTGGCGGGCGCCCGGCCGTGACGATCGGCGGAACCAACGTGCCCTCCGGCGATCCGGCTGACTCAGCCGATGCACCCGTTTGTGGGAAGTCGCAGTCCCCGGACCCGTAGAGTGCACCCTCATCCCGACCGACCGGCACCGCGCCCGGCCCCCGTCAAACGAAGCACCCGCACCACCATCGTTCCACCCACATGGCAGAAGACGGCAGCGCGGGCAGTCCGCTGGCGGGCGCCCGGCCGTGACGGTCGGCGGAACCAACGTGCCCTCCGACGATCCGGAGTCGGTGCGTAGTGGCACAGATCCTGTGTTGGGAGAAAAACCCGACACGCAAACCCGTTCGGGTCAGCGTGCCGGGTTCTTTCGCCTGGCCAGGCATCAGAAAACACATCAGAGGACGCCGTACCGAGACGGCGACTCAATGACGAACCAGCTCTGCTGCACGTCTGCAGACAGAGCTGCCTCAGGTCGGAACGATCACGAGGATCGCCGCGACTAAAGGTAGTTTTTCGTTTTGCGTTCGATTCGACCTGAACGGCGGGCCCGCGAGCATAACCCGCGAGCCCACCGTACATCGACAAGCATATTATATTGTTTCAAATTATCGTCTCCCGAACAGGTGTGACGCCTGGCAACAGTGCCGACACTTGCAATTCCGAATTGCTCGTTAGACGAGTCTCGAAAGGTGGCACTACGAGAGGTTTCCAAGTCCCCGTAGTGGCAAAATTACCGCGTATTTAAGGTCGCAAGTCACACGACCCACACCGCGGATGTGGAGCGTGTGACACGCTAATCGCCCCGTATCAGACGCCAGACTTGCAATCCTAGCGGCCGAGACGGTAAGCGATAATGAACCGCCCGGAGGCGGCAAATTCGGCGGACTGGCGTAAAACCAGCCCGCCTAAATGCTTAGAAAAGCCCAGCTCATTCCGGTGGCAGACGTGTCGTGACACCATTGCCGAAAAATGCCGCGCCCGGAGCCGGCAGAGCCGGCCCCGATCGCCGCACCCGGAGCGGGGGGTAATTTCGCCCTGAGGCAACAGAATCATCTGAGAGGGCAAAGCCTCCCTCAAACTTTCCGAAAGAAAGAGTTCATGCAACTACAACAATCATTTTATCGTCGGCGGGCACGGCGCTTGACGCATGGCTTGTGACGGCCGACAACCGCCGGCACGAAGGCACGCCGCGACCCGCGGGGACCCGGCCGCAGCGCATGTTCGAAACACGCGTCACGGACGGCTCCCCGACGACTCGGGGCGGGTCGACGTGCGGGCGGAAAGGAAACGCTCTGCGACCGAACTCCATCGAATCCCAGAGGCGTTCCCGAGTATTTATGGTTCATGCAGCTACCAAAATTAAGGGTGCTTACCGTCCGAAACACGGTTTCGGACGCATAGCGTGAGTTCGCCGACGACTGTTGGCCCGAAGGCACGCCCCGACTCGCGGGGACTCGGCCGCAGCGCATGTTCGAAACACGCGTCACGGACGACTCCCCGACGACTCGGAACGCTCCGACGTGCGAGCAGAAAGGAAGCGCTCCGGCGACCTCGTCTCCTCGAGGTCTCCGAGCGCTGCCGGGTGTATATCATACAGCTACCATTTTTCGTTTATCGTCCAGAGCACGGCTCCAGACGCCTGGCTTTAGAGAAAGCCGATTTTTAAGATGATTCGATGTTGGCCGCCGCCGCGTAAGTACGCGACGCCGTTTTACACCTAGCGCCGCGAGAAGGCCTCGAATCTTCGCCACTACCGGACTTCTCAGATCCGCTAGCGTCGAAACCACGACGTCCGACGAACCGTTGCACCCGCCGCGAGCCGTATACACGACACGCGGCCAGACCCCGGTTCGTCCGCAACGCCAGCAAATTTGCCAGTCAGGGCGTACGGTCGCAGACGTATTCTAGGAATACCATGCGATTGTACACGGGGCGAGCGCGGGCGATCGAGCCGCACGCTCCCGTCCCGCTCTAACGAACCTTGGCTGTGGTTTCGCTAGATTATAATTATAATTATTAGTGAATAAAATAGTTTCATCAATGGTGTTTTAATATGTAAAAAACTGTAATAATAATAAGAAAAAAATAATCAACAGCAATTCGCAGTGTCGTAGTGTATACAGAATGTTGTATTACACATTATCTTATAAAATATATTATTATAATGAACCGAAGAAGAAAGGAACACAGCTATTAAATGGTGTTAAAACAGAAAATACCTACAACAGCCGTTTGAACACTGCCATAAAAATGCAAATAACATAATAATATGCAGTATCTTATCATGTATATACCTAGTACCCATCAATGCATTGTACAGTATGAAATGTACAGTATGAATGGCTTTTTAAATCGTTATTAGTTATTCATACTATTACGGTTAAATGTTGTGCTTACATCATTTGTTGTCAAAACAAAGTATTTAATTAAGTAATTTACTCTTTTTGAGGGATCCATTCCCTGACCCAAGATATGTGTGTGAATTTTAATAAATCGTCATTGAACAAATGCACCATGATTATGTCGTTAAAGTCAATTGTATGTTTTTACCAATTATTTATGCTTATGATATTCACTTAATTAAGCACCAATACTCTTCAGTGGCACAAAGATACAAAACAAATATTGTCAATGTAAATATAATTAAATTTAATGAATTGCAATTTATATACACATCAGTAGTAATAATCTAATAATTGAATAAAATAAAATCACAATTATTAGCACAATAGAAATCAACTGAAATACAACTATTAAATGGTGTTTAACAAAAAACTTATACTCTATTAGTGAATAGTGAGTAAAACAATTAATACAAATATGTCGATTATATAAATCATTTTATGTAAAATTATAATATAGAATAATAATTATATGTGAAGATTTATATATTTAGTAATCTAAACCAATCTCTCAACCATTAATACAATATAAATTAATCAAGTAGTTCAGTGATATAAAGTGTACACAATATTATGAATATCGTGAGTAGGTATAGCGAAATTGACATATTAATAAACACAATACAAATAAAATAAAGTGAGTTTTCAACCATTAATACAGTCTTCATTAATTAACAGCGGTTCACAGTGATTTAGTATACAAAATGTATAAATACGAGTATTATGAACATAGTAAAATTGCTTATTAATGTTAAAACCAAGAACAAAGAAATACAACTTTTAGTAAAATGTCAATTATCTAAATATTGTAAAAATACAATATATTATATATGTTATATATTTATATACAAACAGTAGTAATATAATAGGAATACAATTTACAGTGTATTATACAGTGTACAAAATATTATAAATATAGTGAAATTTACTAAAATGTACTTAAATGGTGTTTAACAAAATCTAATACACTTTAAGTGAATAAAACAATTAATGTAATTAATACATTTTTCATTAATTTACAACAAACATCGTGAAATTGACTTATTAATGTTATTTACATCATATAATTTAGGTACATTAGAATCTTAAATTAACATTCAAATTAAATAAATTGTCTGCACTATCTGTACTATCTATACAAATAACACAGACATTACATACATTGTTTGACATTACGTCGTCTCAGAATGAAAAGGTTCTAACGCAATTTATGTAATTGTTCAGGGGAACGTTTTTAAGTAGGATATTGAATAACTTTTTTCACCATAATTACTAAATCGTGAAAATTGTATGCAATATCAAGAAAGTTCCAAAGAACACAACTTTATCTGCAATTTGTCTTTCCTCAATTATTGACAGAGTTAATCATAAAAAACCAAAATATTAGTTTTAGAATTAAAAGGTTTTACGTGTAGAACTTTTTCATTCTGAAAATCAAAATTATTTATTTAGTTAGAACTTTTTCATTCTGATTTGAATCATTTTTTCTATGCAGTGATACCAACTTCTAGTGTAAACTATGTTATAAATTATACATTTTTTTATTATGCAATATTTTTAGTTTTTAAGTTAAGTATTATTACATACCCGTATATGAAGTGGGCGGGGGGTCCCCCCACCCCCGGAATTTTTTTTGCTGTGTATGTGCCTGGACATACCTACTATAAGTAATAAGTTACAATTGTATGGTCCAATGGCGCAATTAGTGTAGGGAAGGGGGGTATATTGAAAACGCAACAATATAAATTAAACGGCATAAATCATAATTCACAATAATGAAAAATGTCAAAAACGTAATTCAAATTTAAATGTACCATTTCTTATAATACTAAAGTAGGTACTATATACATGTGGCATGTACCCAGATAGCATAAAAACGTTATTTTAACATTTTTATATTACTATTTTTTTTATTTTATCAATAGGAAAATGTTTTTTTTTCATCAATTATTGATCAGAAAAATGTTTTAAATATATCAATAAAACGCTATTTGGCCGCCAGAATTACATTATTAAATTATTTTAAATTTAATGACAAGTAAATAATATTTAACTATTATTAAAAAAACATACTTTTTTTGATTAAAATTTAATATAATTGTATAGACAATTTATTAATGTTTTATTGTATCATAAAAAAATCATTATTAAAGTTATACTAATCTAATATTATTTAGATACCATCATAAAAATATTATAATTTTTCAAAAATAAAATTAGTTAAAAATAAAAGTACCAATTATTTGTAATTCCAGATTTCATTAGATATACTTAAACTTTACTAACTTTACAAACAAATTTCATTTAATTAAATTTCGATCAATTCTAGTAACTGCTCGCTATATTATTATTTATTAGAAAAGTTATAAATACATATTCATAAAAATTGTATATTCTAATTTTCGTACCTGCACTTATCAACACTTTGTATTCATTTTGGCTTTTTGTGTATCTATATAATAACAACAATTCTATATACCAACTCATTATTAGTATTACGGTTAGAGTATAAGTACGAATAGATATAGTTATGAAATTTTAAGGAAAAATAGAAAATAATAATAATACAAAAAGTTTAAACTATATTCTGTTTTATTTACTGAACTAATTAATATGAATTAAAAAAATATGTAGAGTAAAATATATATTTATATTATTTGATCGCCAGCTGCTACTGCATGGCTGTGTCTGTTGGTTTTGCTTTTTTGCCGAAACTTTGCACCAGCAATAAAAATTTTTATTGATTGTTCTACGTCTATTGTATTGTAATTTTTAAATTTTCCAATACTTTTAATTGATTCTGAAACAAATTAAATAAACATATTTTTTAAGAAAAAATTATAACTACATTTTATATCTGTTTTAAAATCTCACTATGCAAAACATTAAACTAGTTAATGTTTAGTAAAAAATTAAATTTTAAACTAACCACTGACAATTAAAAGAAATTTAATTTTAATAGAGTTAATTTATATAGCTACTATAATAGTTAATTTTAGCTTATCACCATCAATTTTTTGAACAGTTGAATTTTAGATTATGCTTTTTATCAGTAAGAAGTAGTGGTGACTGTCAAGTGTTTCTTATCAGTCAACATAAACACTTTATTTTTATACTTTTGTACAATTTATGAACATTTGGTAAAACAATATTAAGTTAAAGTTTCGGAACTAAGACTAACATATCATTGGGGTAAACAACTGTAGGACATCTGTGTACTGGACTCAGATGTAAATTCATTGGAGAAGAAATATTTGTAAAAATGTTTTATTGTACCTATGATTAAAATAAGAATTAACATTTTTGTTCTTGTGTAATTACACAATTTTGTTTAACAATATTTACAATTAACATACCTATCTGTGGGATGTAAGACTTTTTTTTGGTTCAGAATAATTATTCTAAGCACAGAACCTTAGCATAGTAATAGTTTTATTAGTTGTGAATAATATTATATATTAATAATTAGTGAATTGCAAATTGGATTTAGTAAAACAAAAATTTGAGACAACCTATTTCTTTAATTTAAACAGTCACAGAATTCATCAATATACATATTCATAATACAAAATATACTATCAACTTAAAATTTTTTCAATTTTATAAGATTAAGTAATTGTGTTTATACCTATATTAGGGCCATGTTTACACTTATAGGTTGAACTAAATAACAATTTACGAATCAATATATTCATTTAACAAACCATTATAATATGTTTATACCTACTCAATTAAAATTATAATTTCATAAATTTACTTAATTTTTTTTTAAACAAATATTCTAAAGGTAATAGTTTGTTACTTTGTTATGTAAAAGGTAGATTGTAAGACAGCTCAAATTACTATTTTTTATAATAAAATTGTTTGGAAATAGGAGATATAATCAATGAAAATCTTAGAAATCTGTAATCTATTACACCTAAATTCGACTAGGGGTTTACTTTACGATAATAACAAACATACATACCAAAAATCACTGAACAAATGGCTAAAGTTGAAAATACTTTTTTTTGTTTTTGCCCTTTGTAACTATACTTTTGTAAAAATGAATCATCGAATAAATATCATAATATAGCACGAGTAGTACTTTGAATAGTACTCCTTACTAAACGCGATAACTCACACACCTAAAGAAATCATTTTATTAATTTCAAAATATAATTATAGTTATAATAATGATACATTTTATAACTTTAAAACTTACTACTTTTTTCTTAAAATTATAATCTAAAAGATTTTTTTCAAATGTTGTTAGACTTTCTTCATTTACTATTGGTAAAACAGACATCATAACTTCAAATGTATTCATGGAATCAAAAGAATTGTTGTCATCAGTATGTACATGCACACGGTTATTACTAATCTATATATATAAAAATGAATGTATGTCAGTGTGTCAGTGTGTCTGTGTGTCTGTGTGTCCATGTTACCATGGTTACCAAGGTTGCCATGGTTACTAAGGTTACCAAGATTTCATATCAATCTATATATATAAAAATGAATGTATGTCAGTGTGTGTGTGTGTGTGTGTGTGTCCATATTACCATGGCAACCATATATGTATATAAAAAACAGTAAGCTGATTGACTGCTATCAACGCACAGCTCAAACCATTGGACGGATCTGGCTGAAATTTGGCATACGGATAGCTATTATAATATAGACGTGCGCTAAGAAAGGATTTGCCAAAATTCGCATTTTAAATAGGTGCTGAAACAGGGACATTGAGATTCACGATAGAAATTGGAAATTTTATTTTTATTTATTTATAGTTGCCATTGGTTACAGTCTACATTAGAAATTAGCATTTATTTATTGGTTGCCATTGGTTATTCGGGCAGATCAGGTACAAGCTTGCATCAAATCGAATTATTGAACAATGCTTACCAGGGTGGCAGAGTTGCACTTACCGCAGAAAATTACACCCAAAAGGAGTTCAACAATCATAATTTTTTTAAGAGTTGCGATTTTTTACGAGCAACCAAATTTATAAACTTGGTATAACTTTCTTACTTTAGAGTTAAATCATACACTTCCGTACAAACAGCACGGGGTCCGCGATCTACCGCAGGTAGATTGCCTACCTGATAATGTACTGCTGCGATTCAGAATTTTTATTCAGGGCAACGGGAAAGATAAGATAAATTTTGAACACCATACACGTTAATGAATTGAACAAAGTTTGAGTAGGTAGTATTGAGTTGATCCATTTAACGGGCGACGAAGTGCATGGGATCAGCTAGTTATAAATAAATTTGTCTCCAATTTTTCGATTTTTTCATTCATTGATTTTATTTCATACCATGTGTTTAAGGTTGTACGATTAATTTTGTTTACTTTGTCTGGAAAAAATAAAATTTTTTTACACATTTTTTAATTATAGTTTTTTATTTATTCAACACATTATTGGTACTTACCAATTAATGAATCACTTGTGAAAGATTGCGAACCAGCTGGTGTCAATGACAGTGGAATATACGGTTCAGTTATTTCTGTTGTCGTTGTATCATTGACATTTGTCACTTTAAAAGGTGAAGCCGTCGTTCTAATAATGTTATTAACTGTGCCTTCAACATTGTGACTATCATCGGTATTATCTTTAAAAATAAAAGATGCAAATAAATCACAAGTTCACAGAAAAAATTTTTTTATAAAAAGCTAGGTATGCAGTATATAATAAATTTAAATTCAATTAAATTTTACCAGCAACTACTACTATATTGTCTATAGAGGCAGATTGAAACTCAATGAGTTCTGATGTTATATTAAAGTTTGTTTGACTATTATTTGATTGATACTTATTAATCTTCCATGAAGGATAACGCACTTTCATTGGGCCTTTGATCCATAAATTAATTAGTTTACGGACTGTACCTAAACAAACTAAATGGAGATAATCCATAGAAAACCCATAAACAACATCAAAGTTAGGTAATGTAGCAATTATTGAATTATTTATTATATGATGATCCTCATTTAAGCGTGTTATATAATTTTGATGAGTGCGTTTAGGGGGACATCTTTCTGGTTTTAAGTATGGAAAACAAACTCTATTTTGAATGTATTCTCCTTCATGTTCACACCTGGAGCATGAAGAAAACCCAGAATGTCCTTTAGTCCTTAAAACATAAGATTTTGCAGGGGCATCACAACATAATACACTAACATGGAAATCGTACATTTTGCCGTTTATTCTAACACCATTTTGCATTAATAATTTAGCTTCTTCAATAAAATCCAAAATAAATTTGTTGCTATCTGATGGTTTATATTTTCCATGATAGATTCCTATCGGAAAAACATGACCATTTGGACGAATATAGGCAAGAATTGGCCAAAATTGGTCAGAGCTCGATTTGTATAAAGGTAAACCGTCAATCCCTACAGCAATTTCAATAACAGATACATTTCTAACATTATCAACCATATTTAATTTTATACCGTTTTCAATACCAAAATGGTAGTAAGAACCTGGTTCTATAATTTTTAATTTAGAAATACCCAAATGTTTATTATTATTTTGCATCAAAGTTCTAGAGTCAAGAGGAAAGGAATCAAAACATTTATGTCTTTTTAAAATCCTCAATAACTTATTTAGGGCAATTTGAGGTATATTAAATTCTATGGTCCATTTTCTAATTAAACATTTAATATCATCAGATAGCGTCTGAGATGGGTCTGAGGGTTCAAAATCTATATTTTCATCAATTAAATGAGAGTTATCATGTTTTTCAGAACGATGTATGTTTAAGTTATTTGGTATGATTTGACTATCATTTAAATCATGACGACTATGACTAGCATTTAATTGATTACTGGAATTTTGGGTTGGTTGGTTGGATGGTAAAAAAAATATATTGTCTAAATTAGAATTAAAATGTGAAGTGGTAGTGACATTTTCCGATGTACTAGATGTTGACAAAACAGGGTCAACCAAATTTATTGGAACATTATTTTTTAATTCTTCTGTTACCCGCCTTCTCTTGGATCGAACACTCAAATTAAAATTTTTTTGACAAAATGGCATGGTTAAATAAGAACCGCAGACTGATAAAACCAACATTTTTAGAATCAAAACTATTTAATGTTTTAAAATTCTAAATATCCATAGGTAGGGAACAGTTACAGAATTAATTTATGTTTTTACCATAGGTATTTTTGTCATTATTCATTAGGTGAAAATAATAAAAAAAAAGCCTAATAAAAATATCAGTTAGGTAGGTATTAAATTGTGGGTAATTATACAAGATAGGTACCTAATTTATTATTAAAATAGATAATAATAAAAAATAAATAAGCCAAAATTAAAGACAATACCTACCTAAGTGATATTAGTAATTGCTAATAACTATTTAATTATAAGACAATAATACAGTATAGGTATCTAGCATGTTGGAGAGGATGCCAATATTTTACATATTATGGTACTCATTAACTTGATAAACATTAGATTTTAACAGCAATAAATTTAAAAAACGATATTGGTCCGTAAACTAGATTTATACCTTTATTGTTTTTAATCATTTATAATATATTTAAGAAAAACATTTGATGAAAAAGGTTCGTACCTATGCCATAAAATTGAATAAATGTAACTGGTACCTACTGTACATTAGAAACACATATAAAATGGGTGTAGAAATGTAAAGCGGATACTTACAATTTATAAACTTCCGAGTTTTAAAATCGTGTTTCGAAAATAGGTACAATATTATAGATCGCAACAGACTGCCAACTGACAACAGTACACACAAGATGTTGGATTATTAAACAACTATGGCACAATCGTAGACAACAACACTGATATACTAATAAATTAATAATGCCACAATGGTATAGATTCTTGATTAAATAACAAGGTGTGAAGATACCTGCAACAAAAAAAATTTAATAAATGTAAATGGTGCCTACTGTCCATTAGAAACATAAAGGTAGTAGAAATGTAAAGTGGATACTTACAATTTATAAACTTCCGAGTTTTCAAATTGTGTTTCACAGTACAACCATAGAATACTAGTATCCACACATTTATAACACTATTCACTCAAACTGGAGACAATATTGAATAATATTATGACAAATCTCACACTTCACAGTCACACTATAGTAGGTATAGGTTATGTCGAAATGTCGAATAAAAATAATAATAATATACGTACCTCTATACTCCGGCCCACGAGAGAGTATTACCGTCGCCCGACGAAAACTCGTCCGATTCCGCGCATTCCCCACTACTCGGCATGTGCCGACAACTGTTCGGTACCGGTCGGCAGCGCTCAACGCTATACGGTGTATAGCGGTCGCGGAAATAGTGGGGGAAATGGGGCCTCGGAACGGTCTCCGCCGTCAGTCTGCATGCGCAAAACGGTAATACTCTCTCGTGGGCCGGAGTATAATAAGTAATATGTTTATCGCGACCGCCGCTCTCCGTTAAACTATCCCACAAAATTTTAAATCCTCAACTAAAAATAGAAAAGTGAATAAAATAAACACACTGCACTGTCTAAATGATAATGATTGTTCATTCGATCGTCGCTCTCAGCACCAAGTACGGACGAAGATAGAACTATTTTTTCTATCGTAGTATCGTAGTCCGTTGTCGCGAAAACAAAATAGGTAGGTACCTATAACATGTATGTGATAAATGATAATTATATAATAGGTACCTACGCTGTATATTATTATATAATACGTTTTACAAATATACGAATGCCAATTGCCAATGTCAGCAGCGAAAACGTTCGTTGATCACAAATAAATTATTAATATAATAAATACGCTATTATATTATATTATATTAAAAGGCGTACCTATAGTATAATATTATACAATAGTCAATCACAGAGTATATAATTAATATATCGCACAGAATATAAATATATGATAATATACAGATATACCATATACTGTTAAGAACCCCTGAATACTGTTAGTAATATTATTCTATAGTCCTTGTAGTATAAATGTAAATTTCTGTTTAATCATATTGTAAACTGATACGTGTGTGACACAGGCGAGCAGGAATCCCTTCTCCATACGACTGGTCTAAGGAATCTGCTGAATAAACCCTTTTTGAACGGACGACCAGCTCGTATGCGGGGCTCGCACACGTAGCAGGCAGTAGAGTGTTGGTGTCACAACAGACCATTACAGACCATTTCAGAGCATTTCATATAATTAAACGTTATTACAATTAAATAAAGAATATTATTTTTAGCCAAAGTAATTTAAACTCGTTTTATTTTATTTGTGTGGAATCGCCAAGTGCGCGTCCATAACATTTTTGGTGGCAGTGGTGGGATACGGCTATTAGTCAGTATCCGTTACCACGAGTAAAAGAAATTACGCCAACATTTTATGCTCGTATAATTGTGTGATCGTTTAATCATCAACAACTTCAAAACATTAAAAGGCTATACAGAACATTCACAAACTACAGAACATCTACGGAATATTTCAAGTAATATAATTCAATATCATATATAACGTAACGCGTCGTATTTAACGGGCTAGGCACAGCGTGGGAAAGGGTAACGTCAGTGATTTAACGCATACCCCGCACTCGCCCGCCAGTACAATAGACATTATTGTGCAGCCGCCGCCCGAATAGCCGTCGGTACCGTATACGACCGCCGGGACGTCATCGCTAATACGCTGGTGCCACCGCACCTCGCCGTGGCACGAACAACTGGTTGCGTGTGGAGGTAACGCTCTCTAGTAGTGCAAACGAGAGTTACCGCGATTCAAGCGCCACACAGTGACCAACGGCCATTCGATCGAGACACCGTGAAGAAATCGGGTCGTGACCGTGAAATTGCTACCGTCATAGTGTACGCGCCGCCGCCGTCGCCGCCGCCGTAATATAGTACGCGCCGCCGCTGACGTAAACAAACAAAACGTAAATACGTGATATTATCGTGTATAATAATACACAGGCAAATCGTATACTACGTATATTACGTGTACTACCATAATCACCGGTATTCACGTAAAAACAGAATAATTTATCGAAATCCAATAATAATTATTGGTCCCCGCGCCAGCTGTTTCGGGGCGTAGAACTTCAAATCCGAACATTGCAGTCGAAAAGGATAGTCGTCGTTTATAGAGGAGTACGCGATCAATCAACACACCAATTTCCGGAACATTTCAACATCGAATTCAATCATCTCCACAATGGACAGGATGTTAGTAAATATACATCGATCCTCGTGAGTTAAAATATTTTTTTTTTTCTATATATAGCATACTACTATAACTTGTTATACTATTATTATTATAATTACTATTATATTAATTTTGTCTGTCTTGCTTTGCCTGTGAGTAGTGATTGCCTATTTGTAACTGCTATTCTATTGCTTATTAGTCAAAAAAAAAAAAAAAAAAAAGGGGGTTAATGAATAATTCTGAGGACAAAAATAATTCAACAGAGGAACATAGCGTTTCAACTACTGATAGTCTTCAGCCCCCTATTCCAACTTCAAGGACTAGTTTAACTGTTAGGTATTCGAATTCGCAGGACCCTACTTCTGAGAGGGAAGTCGCTGATATTACGGTAGATCATTTGCTTGTTAGGGAAACAGATTTATCGATAGCCACAAATAATTTATTAGTTAACGTATCTAATGAACTACAAAAAGTAGATCAGAGTATAAACAACGTCGTCACAAAGACAACCATTTCGAACACGGAACATTCCGAACATACAGAAAATCCAGCACAAACAGAAAATTCAGAACAAATAAAGGATTACGAAGACACAACAAATTCAGTACAACAAGAATTAGAGGAGAGTTACTCAAGAAATCGAATTGATTGGACTGAAGATCTAATTAAACTCGATCAATCAAACATGGAAAACGAACCGGGAAACCAACAAAAGGAAACAGTACAAAACGCTAATGCGGGAACTTTGACTGTCACAGAAGATCAACTGTCACAGATCATTAACCAACAGGTACAAGAGGCACTCAGGATACGAAATGTCCCTCAGACAGTAGAGGTGATGTCCAGCAACCAGATAGGACTACAAGACGCAATCAGACTATTGCCAAAATCACTTGATGGCGAGAACACCGAGCAAGTGGAAGTATTCCTGGAGAAATGTGACTTTGCTGTATCCTGTACGGTACCTACAGCTATTCCATGGTTGGTACAAGCAATTCAAACCAGATTAACGGGAAAGGCCCGACAGGTTGTAAAATATCAAAACTTTGAGTCTTGGGAAGAATTAAGGGATCTTCTAAAATCAAATTTGGAACCCCAAAGAACTACCCAACACTTGTATCAGTCTTTATATGCTACAAAACAAAAAACAGGAATGGATATATCAACTTATTCCAAGGAAGTAGAGGCTCTTCAAAATACGATTATTGAACAAGAAACCATGGGATGTACAATCGAGGTAGCACAAGCACTAGAGAGAACAATAAAAAGACAAGCCCTACAGGTATTTATTGAAGGTTTAGGAGATTTAAAAAATTATATAAAAGCCAGACATCCAGATTCTCTTTTTAACGCCATTCAAGCGGCTCGGGAAGAAGAAATAGTAAGAAAATCGTCAGAGGAATCCAAAAAATTATATAAGCCAGCAGCGACCTCAAAAACCCAACCAGGAGTATGTAATGTCTGCAAAAAATCTGGGCATTGGGCACGAGATTGTCGATATGCAAAAGCAGACAACAAGAAATCCAAACAGAATACTACTCCAGCACCAGTCGCTACAGTTAGCACGGTGACCTACCAGTATTGTAAGAAGCCCGGGCATACGAAAGAGGTGTGCCGAAAATTGAAGTATGTACAATCAAAAAGAAATGATGCTGACAATAAGCAGGCGGAAAACTCCCAACAACCGGGCCCTTCCGGGGGACGCCCGGTAGGGAACATCAAAATAGCCGAGATATCTTTTGCAGAGCGTACCCAATAGTTTCTAAATTGACAGATCATCACTTAACATGCAGAACATTTCAGACCATCAATCCGAATGTAAAATTCCTAATCGATTCCGGGAGTGATTTAAATTTGATC